CTTCCATAGACCCTTTGCAATGAACTATCTCTATCTCTCAGGCATGAAGAACTGATGGAAAAGGGCGGCATGTACACGGACATGTGGGCACAACAAGGGAGTGCTTACGAAAACGTCTCAGAGGTGGGGAGCAAGTACAGCAACGTATCGCGAGGAGCCTCCATAAAAAGTGGAACAAGTGGTGCATCCAACGCAAGCTCCGCTAAGAGCACAGCTGCCTCCGTTAAGAGCACAGCTGCCTCCACTAAGAGCACAGCTGCCTCCGCTAAGAGCACAGCTACCTCCGCATCAAAAGCCAGCAGCATGAAGACTCTCAGTGAGGAGTCAAAGGGAAGTAGCAGCATGAGGAGCTCCGCTGGTGCTTCAACAGTGACAAGCAGCAACACCATCACCACCACCAGCAGCAGCTCTGAGGATTAGCTGAGATCTAGGAAGGATCTGCTGAAGAAGAAAGCAGCAGCCCCTGCCCCTGCAGGACATGGTTTGAAACCAAAGAAGTAGCTGTTCCTTTTGCCAGAATAACTTGTGAACATTTACAATGTAGTGCTAGAGGTCACACTCCCTAGCCGTAGAGTTGATCCACTAAGAAAGTGTGTAGGGAAGGATGCTGGGCCCTGTGTACACTGTGGAGTACCTGTAGCACTGGAGCAACATACCCTGAGTGTGGAATACCTCACAGTGCTGTCAGTGATTGGCAAAGGGCAGGCTAGAATGGGATAGACTCCATAGATCACAGTGGTTTCCAGGGCCACTTGGCCTCAACTGTGCTCACTGGGGGGGTCTTCCCTTGCAAAGATGAGTGAGGCGGGGTAAGGCAGAGAGTGATGTGTACATGTTGCCAGCACTGTGTATATATAACAACAGAAGGCGCTTGGGACATGGCTATATTTTTGTAGCTTGATTTTGAGTGGTCTGTTTTAATATTGATAAACTTTCAGTGTTTTCAGATCCGTCTGTAGAGTCAATGTTATTTGTCCAAAAGAGGGTGGAAGGCGTGACAGTCGGCCACCAAGACTGGGAGTCTTTTTCAGTCTTCATGCAATTCTCAAACTAGAGGTTTAAGCTCAGGTCAAATTAAGTTGGATCATTGGGCCAAAAGGACACATGCACTATTTGTTTGCATCTTAACTTGTGTAGAATAAGATAAAAACAGGAGGGCGTCTCCAATCATTCATAGTCGTGGGGAGGGTGAGAGAGGCCTATTCATCCTTCCACACGTTATCCAGGTGGGCAGTTCTGCTTGGTGGCCTAATAGAAGTGGGTTGGCTGCTGCTGTTGTCATGAGGTCATTTATTCCCAGGAAGACCTTGACTGATCAGATGAGCCACATTAGTATTAGCCAGGACTCCATTATATATAACACCATCAGTGGTATGGAATCCTGTAGAATGGACAGTAAGGCTTGCTACCTCAAGCAGGGCTCTGGAGAGCCAACATACACATTTTCTAAATAAATACTGTGGAATTCCCTACTGTTTACCTAGAAGTAGTAGTAGTAGAGGAGATTGGATTTATACCTCGCCCTTCACTACCCAAAGGTGTCTCAGTGGCTTACAAACTCCTTTCCCTTCCCCTCCCCACAACAGACACCCCGTGAGGTGGGTGGGGCTGAGAGAACTCTGACACAAACTGCTCTTTTTCAAGGACAGCTCTTATCAGAACTACGGCTTGAGGAGTGGGGAATCAAACCCTGTCCTCCCAGATTAGAGTCTGCGCACTTAACCCCTACACCAAACTGGCTTTCTAAGTAGGAAAGCAGGCAGTGGAGGGTTAAGCACATCCTCCAGACAAAGGTGAGGCTATTTACAAATTATTGGCACCGCCTTCCAAGGAAATAGGTTTATAAGATTATGCGTGGGAAAGAGCAGGTAGAGAAAGAGGTACTTTTCTCCCTTTCTCCATGAAATTGCTGAGCGGTTGGGTTAGAATGGATAACAGGAAGTACTTCTTCACTCAAAGAGTGATTAACACTTGGAATTCACTGCCACCGGAAGTGGTGGCGGCTACAAGCATGGACGGCTTCAAAAGGGAATTAGATAAGCATATGGAGCAGAGGTCCATCAGTGGCTATTAGCCACAAGGTATAGATAGGAACTCTGGGGCAAGTGATGCTCTGTCTTCTTGGTGCTTGGGGGAGTCAACAGTGGGAGGGCTTCTAGTGTCCTGGCCCCACTGGTGGACCTCCTGATGGCACTGGTATTTCTGGCCACTGTGTGATACAGAGTGTTGGACTGGATGGGCCTTTGGCCTGATCCAACATTGGCATTTCTTATGTTCTTATGTTAGACCCTTTCATCTTCAGGGCATGCAGATTAGACTTGGGAAAACACGTTCCTAGGAAACAGTAAGCCACAACCTCCTGCAATGAGAACATGTACAGCCAGCCCTGGAAGGGAAGGTTTTGGACTATGCAGTGTTAGAGAATGAACTTGATATTTTGCTTTATGGACTGTATTTATTGCTACACACACAATGGACTGTGCACACACACACACACAGAGGCTCAGAGAACTGTACACTTTAAGTCACCTGTTGTGATGTAACACATAGAAGGTACCTGCACAAGCCTTACATGTGTAAATAAGGTTTCAGCTATACAGTTACCAGCCTGGTGAAGAAGCACACACCTCCATTATTGTGAACAGTAAGAAACAACAGCTTGAGAAGAGACAGCCCCCATTGCTGAATTATTTGTGGTCACGACACATCACTGCTTTGTTCCTGCATTGGTATTTCCTGCCAAATGGACATTTGGTTCACAATGAGAATGGCCAGCTTCATCAACACTACAATGGAGCATCCTGAGCCAAGGTTTTCACACCTGGCCCAGATTCCATTCCTTGAGTAGGAGGAGGAGGAGGAGGAGGAGAGGAGATTGGATTTATACCCCGCCCTTCACTACCCAAAGGTGTCTCAGAGCAGCTTACAAACTCCTTTCCCATGCAGTCAAGAAACCCACACGTTCTGGCTGGTTCTGGTCGTGTGTGAACTCCCTTTAGTTTACATTTCTTCCCATCCATTCTTCATTGGAACAACCAAAGCTGCGAGACAGATAAGTATTGCCCATCATCACCCCCACCTGCTAATGCAACGGTGCTTATTTTAATACTGTAACTCTAAGGAACTTGATTGAATGTATGAGTGCGTCAGTATTGTTTGTATGAGATTTATTCTTTAAGTAAAAGACATTTTAACAACAACAGCCTCGTTGTCCTTCTCTGGTAACCCTTGGTGGGAACAGGACCTTGGTATAGTTGGCAAGGACCCATTTATAAATTGCCAGTTGCTGTAAATAAAGTAATTCGGCTAACAGCAGGCAGAGGAACTTCTCAACTTGGAGTGAAAGATGGTCCACATTGAGGGGAAGAAAAAAAGAATAGAACTGGAACACACACACACACACACAAATGAGGCAGGGAGGGGCAAAGGAGGAAATCACCCAGAACATTCCTTCCTGTGTAAGTAGACCTCACAGGGTGGCTGTGCCTGACCTGATCCATGGCCAGAATGGGACATCACAGGAAACCCAGGTTTCCATTTCAGGTCACTGGGCAGAAGCACAGGTAATACTGAAGGATTAAGTACCTAGTGACTTACAGATCCAAGAGGCTATTGTTTATTTAGGCTGTATTTGCAACTTCATCATTGTAGCAAGAAACTAAAAGGACAGTTGCAAGGTATTTGGTGCCTTTGTAAGGTGTGGAACAGAGCCTCTTCTGGATGCCACACAGACAGCTTATGGATGCCGGTCAGTCACACCCACAACTGCATAAGACTGTGGAATGTGATATTTTAATGGTACAGCCACGTTGTATCATTTTGTAGAGTTGATGATTTTGGCAGCTACATCTTATTTGCTCTCCCAGAGTTTTGAGATGGGTGGAAGGAGGATACTAGGTTCCATTTCCAATACAGGAAAACTGAAACCGAGAGGTAATTATATGCCCAAGGGTGATTCTGTGGGGGGTCCCTTCTAGCACAGAATGACTGGCAATGTGCTAAGTGCTGAATCCCATTCACCTCACTGAGCAGTAACTCGAGGCACATACCCGGCAAAAAGCACGCATGGGGAGCATAAGGTTTTTTTATAGTGTGTGACCTGGCCCTGAGAGAGAATGATTGACCCAAGGTCACCTGTTAGATGTCATGGCAGAGTGAGAATCAGAACCCAGGACTCAACAGTTGTAATCTGAATTCTATAGTCACTACAGTACACTGGTTTCTGCGTAGTGTCACTGAGTCTAGTTCTTAGCATCTCTGTGGAGAAATCCCTGTATACTTTGCACAGGAAAATCAGATCTGACCTTGTTCTTCACCTCAACTACCATAAGCACAGCACTGGGACGTTGCCTTTGTTCATCTTGCCCTGAGTCCTACATCCTCCCATGAAGGCCCTGTGCTCCGCAACAGAAAGGCATGTTTCCTGGTGTCACTTGTATTCCTTCCCACTCCAGGAAAGTGTCTTGACAATAAACAGCAACGGAAATGCAGAAACCAGTAACAGTGGTCCTTTATTCAAGGGGCTGGTTGTCTTACAGAGTGTTTCTCCCTATCTCTTTCCCACCAGAAAGCACTCTAGGTAGAGACCGGGGGGGGGGGGGAGTGACACGAAGGTGAGGAGAAAGTGCCAGATGCAGGGCAGCAGCACATTATGACTGCACTGAAGTAGCTGCAGCTCCCTTTGGCCCTCCCGCACTGATATAGTGCCCTGCCCGACTCACCTAGCACTGGATGCAAATTCTGTTTTCCTGCCCTACACATCACGGCTGTATTCCAACTGCTGACCACTGAGCTGTCTCTCTAATGCTTATATATTTCAACAGGATGTAAGAGCAGGCATGCCTCGCCTGGCTTCTCCTTCGACCCTGGCATTTTGAAAGTCCATCGCAGTGCAGCAGTTCACTGAGGCTGCCTTAACCTACCACGCCAGGCCTCCCAATGAGCTGCTATGGCAGAGAACTCCACCAATTTCCCTTGAAGCCAGGAACCTTCTTGCGGGGGGAAGCGGGGAAAGGGTCCATAGGTACAGAGCAAGTGGAGAGACCCAGCGCAGCGCCCCGTCCACCTCAGTCATCCTCCTGCTGCAGCTGCTGCTGGTGCCTGCTCTGATACCACAACATGGTGGGCAGATTTTGACAGCCCTGGTAGCGACGCTGACGCTCCTCCTCACCCAGGGGTGGCACAGAATGGCAAGGTGCTCCTGCTAATGTGACATTGAGCAGCTGGGCTGAGGTGTCAGAGGCCAAGACTGCTGACCAAGGGCCCACCTGCAGTAAAGGAGAGAAATTTTCACCTGGCAAAGGACCACAGCTGGGTTTTCACAAGCATTAAAATAGCACTTCAGAATGTTCAGAGGACTTCATGTACATTATCTCAGTAATCTTAAATCAGGGAAGATTAAAGGGGCGTTAAAGCTTCCCCTTGTTCTTAAATTTTGGATTGGATCCAGCAATGCATGAGCAGAAAGGAAAATGCACTTGGTGCCGTTCCACTTGTGCAAGCCGTAGTACAACAGCTACAGGAACATGTGGTACTTTAACAGAATGAAAGAACAATGTGCCTATGGAGCAACAGGATGGACAACACATTTCATTTAATTTGGTTTAAAAACTGTCAGTACCTTGTGCTATGTCTTGTATATTTGGACAAGATAGTGGGGATATGATCACGTTCACCGCGCAAATAGACACTGAAGAGTAATTTTGGCGGTCTGCCTGCACAGTGTCTATTATGCATGTAGAAATCTTCTATGGGATCCAGTCCTTTGAGTGGACTGCCCTTATCTGGTGACTTTAAATCTGAGTATCACTTCAAGTGACTTCAACCTGGACAATTTTTTCCCTAGTGGCTGAAGTCTAGCTTTGGACAAGAAAATTAACTAGAAGGGTATACCAGCAATGGAACTCAATGTTGGTTTTTTTCCTACCGAAGGAGCCACAATTCACATTTTTAAAAATATACTTTGTTAAAGCAACTTTTCCACATGTTTACATTCCCATTTTCTTTGTCATTCTAAGTCAAATAGCTGAATAACAGATCTGAGTACACTACCAAAGTCAGTTCTGGCCCTTCATCAAGTCCGGTGCTTGCTATGCACGGCCAGCTCCACTGTCACATTATTCTGTAGTGCTGTTCAACTGAGGTGAGTTTCTCCAGGTGGGGGCTGAAACAAACCTGGCTGCAAGATGGAGCAATCGGAAGACTGCTGGGTCTGTGGGGAGCTGAAACATGCACTGAACATACTGCACGACAACAACAACTGGCCAAATATTTCTTCCCTTGGAGTCACTGATACATTCCAAGTGCCTCTCTTCCTGGCTCCCCTCTCTCCCGTTTGTTTCATTCTGTTTTGTCCCCCAGAACTGGGAGGTGGAACTGGCATCCCAATGGTGTTGCCTCGTTCACTAAACTCTGCCTCTTTGCTCTGGAACCTCACCTGTTGCTAGTGCCGCCTGCCAAGGTAATGCTAGCACTGGGAAAGCGGTTTCACTGTTTGGCTTTTTGCTTGGACTAAGCAGCCAGTATGGGAATAACTCGCTCTACAACATCATTGTCGATAAAGCTGTGGCCCTCATGCAGTCATAACCTCTGTTCTGCAGGCCAATGCACTTTATGGTACTTACGGGCAAGATATGCTGGAGAAGGCACTGGTCAGGTTGTAGCCCTGCCCAGAACTCAGCAAAAGCTGATCCACTGCTGGCGGTGATGCCACGCACTAGCACCACATTGGCATGGCGCCGTGATGCCCGCAGCTTCTTTGCCAATGGTTCTGGATAGCTCTGGTCAAGGAAGAGGAGGACCCTGCGTGCATTGCAGCTTTCCAAGTCAGCTAGGAGCTCAGAGATGGGATACCGCTCCTTAGGGTCAGCCTGTTGGGAGAGTGGGGCAAGCCCATCAGCACCTGCCCCTTTGAGACAGCTCCCCCCTCCCCTACTGTACAGTTCAGAGATCAAGGGAATTCCACTGCCTGGGAGTTAAAAGGGATGGATTAAGCAGGAAACAGCAAGCCGAGGCCAGCACCCACTGCAACTTGGGGGTTGTTTTCTCCCTGCAGGCACACATGAAAGAAGTGGACGGGCCTTTGAAGGGAACAGATGAGAGGGCCGGAGCCTCCACCTGCAATTCTGTCAGCATCTCTGCTTCCATCAGCTGAGCTGGCCGGGACATGCTAGGACAGGTGCTCAGATCCCCTCCACATCCCTCCCTGTGCAAGGGTGGCTCGATTAAGCTTCCACTTCCAGCCAATCAAAGCCTGAACACTTCTGGATGGCCAAATACAGGCTGATAAGGGGCTTCTGGCTCCTCGCAGACTTGGGGAGAGGGGAGTTGAACTTGGCTTGGTGATTAACAGCCAATAAGAAAGGATTTATGTTTACTAATGTGGACTGAGATGTTTTATCATGAGAACAGAGGGTTCAGAGGCTGGTGCCAGTGGAGTTAGGCCTTTATGCAAGGGAGACCCTTGGGAGAGCCAATTCTGAAAGGTTCATTTGATTCCACTGGATAACTTGCCTTTGTCTCCCAAACCCAACCTGCCCCTCAGACCTGACTCACAATGCCATTGTGGTTGGCATCCCACAGCAGTATGGTTCCATCGCTGACTGCTGGGCTGTTGAGGTAGAGCACCAGCGAGTCGGCGCAGTGCAGGCTCCGGCAGACCAAGGCTAGATGCGAGCGAATGGCCAGCTTCTCTGTGGCTGGGTGCACATCACCCACCTCCATGGCTGCTGCCCAGAAAAGGAGAGGGAAGAGGCTGATGACTTCAAATCCCATAGGCCCACCTCTACACTCCTCCAGCAATCCCATCCCCCTACACCATAGAATCCTCCCAAGAACATAAGAACATAAGAGATGCCAATGTTGGATCCAGGCCAACACTCTGTGTCACACAGTGGCCAGAAATCCCAGTGCCATCAGGAGGTCCACCAGTGGGGCCAGGACATTAGAAGCCCTCCCACTGTTGACCCCCCCCCCCCAAGCACCAAGAAGACAGAGCATCACTTGCCCCAGAGCCCCTATCTATACCTTGTGGCTAATAGCCACTGATGGACCTCTGCTCCATTAGCTTATCTCATTCCCTTTTGAAGCCGTCCATGCTTGTAGCCGCCACCGCCTCCTGTGGCAATGAATTCCAAGTGTGAATCACTCTTTGGGTGAAGAACATATTGAGACACGCCATCCTCTTGGGAAGGGACTAATTTGGGACAAGGTGGGAATTTTGCTAGGATTTTACTGGCCCATAACAACCCAATAGGGCTTTTCTTTTCTTTCTTTGCCTGTGCCCTATAGGCTGATTATAACTAGGGTTGGACGTCAAAGGCATCCATCACTAGAGGTTGCATGAGAGCTAGTGGGGTGTAATGGTGAGAGTGTTGGAGCAGGATCCAGGAGAACCGGGTTCATATCCCTACACTACCATGGAAACTTGCTGGGGGACCTTGGGCCAGTCACACACACTCAGCCTAACCCTACCTCTCAGGACTGTTGTGAGGATAAAAAGGGAAGGGGTCCCCATTGGGGAGGAAAGTAGGTATAAATGAAGTAAACATGTAAATGCTTCTGCTTTCACAGATGGGAGCCACGTGGCAGGACACGACTCTGGAATGGAAGGCTGCATTCGGAAAGTTGGTAAGAACAGGGTGGTGAATGGGTGTTGAGACCCAAACGACCCCAGGCTCTGAAGAGTTGCCTACCTGGTGTCTGCCCCTCACTTGCAAAGAAGGCCTTGATGTGCTCTTGGCGGAAGCCATTCCTTCGAAGCATCTGGTAGAAGAGCAGCAGGTTGTGGGCATGGTGTGGATAGGTGACCTGCTCCTGCCAACCGCCTAGGAGGGAAACGCTGTCAGAAAACACTCAGAAAATGGGAGAGGATGAGACAGCAGCTGCTGCCAAAGGCCAAGGAAGGCAGGACCAAGCAGCAGCACTGACCCCGTTTCCGAGGAGGAACAGCCCCCCCCTTTTTAAACTCCTGCCTAGTGAAACAAAGCAGCTGACATTTTGGACTGAGACCAGATTCTCCCTCATCCAAAGCATTTGCCCCCTGCAGCGAAAGGCTGGGATCCCTTTCCTCACCTGGAAGTGTGTACCTCCTAGCAACCCCAAGTGCTATTCTGGAAGCCACACCTGTTATCAGCACGGCATGGTCACACGTCTGATACATGCGGCACGACTTGTACACTGGAAGCTGCTGGCGATGACACCGCCGGGTATTCTTGTTGAGCTCGCAGTAGGCAGCTGTGGAACTGGAGCTGACGAGGGGCAGAGGCCGAGGGCACGGGCTGAATCCACGGAGGTCTGTGCAAGGAAAGATGTGAGAGGAGGTATCAGGGAGGTTGGGGGCACGGAACAACTTTTTTTTGGGGGGGGAAGCACAGCATGTCAGTAACAACACCTTGAGAACTGCACCATCTTCCCAACACCCACGCCCTCCTCATCCTGTGATCCTCCCTGAATTTAACACTAGCCTGTCCTGTACTGATAGCCTCCTACCTACCATGATTCCCCCAAACCCTGAAAGCAAACAGCTTGCCTGGCTTACAATCTTGGTCAAGGTCAAACTTGCACCTCACAGAATGTTCATACCAAGGCCATTCTTGGTTAGCGGTTGCCACCTCTGTCCTTGCAGCCACCTTTTGATGACACCTCAGAAAGGAGCTGCGGTGGCTTCCATTAGCAGGATGAATGTACCCACCCATGCAGTGCAGCTTTTGTGGATGTTTAGGGTCCTCCTGTGCCACAACCACCAAAGGCAGGAAATGGATCTCACAGAGCCCAACAGGCGGCTCCTCGCGGCGAACCCGGCCTGCTGACCGCTGGCTCCATCCCTTGCTGCGTCCTCCTGGCCTGCGCTTCAGCTGGTTCTCACAGCGGCTCCTCTGGGCAGGTGTCAAGCACTCATAGCTCCCTGCAGGGGAAAAGCAAACACCCCTGGAATAAAACAGAGAGCCTCCAGTGCTGCTTTGCCACAAAAGAGCACACACAGCCCGGCCTGGAGAAATGGGCCAGAGCTGTGCTGATTCCCAGTGATACTTTCTCAACAGCAAAAAGAACATTCCATTGGTGATGTCACTGTTCCCTTTACCAAACATTATAGGACCACATATGAGAACAGTTTCATTGACCCTCTTTAGGCAAAAATCGTAACTCAAATAAATTCAGACGCTCATTGCAATGGAGAGCTTTAACTGAAATACAGAGACCAGATCCAGTACTGTAGCACACTATCTTTCCATTATAAACTGTGCAAAATGACTGAGACACAAAGACACTTCCTAGTCTTGCCCTCCCAGTACAAAGAAGGATAAACAGGTTATAAAGACAATTTTTCTGAGACTATACAAAAGTGCTTATCATAAAGGACAAATAACTGTGTCAAGGAATGAGCCAGGCTTGCCAAAAGTCTGCTACGCAGTGACCCAGGGCTCGACAGTGACAGAAAACACTTGTCTTTATCCTTTTTTGATTGCTTGGCAGCTAACTCCATGTCTAGAGCCTTTAGGAATATCAAACTCTCCCTTGCATGTTGGCAGCACGTACTAGTTAACGGTGTTGGACCTGGGATCTGGGAGACACCCATTTGAATTCCCACTTTGCCATGGAGGCTGCTGTATGACCTTGGGCCAGTCACTTACTCTCAACCCCACCTAGCTCACAGGGTTACTGTGAGGATACAGTGAAGGAGAGGAGAATGATGTGAGCCCCACTGGGGACAGAGGGTGGGATATATGAAGTAAATAAAAGAAACGTAAATACAAATATCTTTAAATTGAACACTGAATCCCTGGTAACAAACTAGTGGCTTGTTTGTCACAACTAATATTGGTTCAGGAAATCAATTAGGCCAATCTATGATTAAAAAGCTACCAGTTAATTGTGTAGCAATTTTTAAAATTTAAGTTAATATGCAAACGATCCTACTTTAATATAAAAATTTAACAAACATTTTGGGTGGCAGGAAGCATTCTCTCTTCTCTCACAACTGAGTGGACCCTTGAACTAAGACAGGGCTTGCTATAACATATATATGCATGGCATTTCTTCAGAAATACACATTGAAATCCTATGCAGAGTTACGCCGATCAAAGTGCCCTAGCTTAGAATGGAGTACCTCTGTATAAGACGACTGCACTGTTATTCATATAATCAGTCAATGGTTAAAGCTTATATGATCATTTAACTACCTTTTGTTAACTCAGTGACAACCCAGCAACAGAGAAGGAAACTGGACAAAAAGAAGCCAGTGGTTCACTCAGAGGAGAAGTGCCAAGGGTTAAGCTATCTAGAAGTCATACTTTGCAGTCAGAAAATATTATCCCCCAAACGCAGAGAGTATGGCGTTGGTATGGTTACATGGCACAGAAGGAAATGCATCCTACCCATGCTCAGATGCCTGTTACGTCACCAAATCCAGGATTAAGAACTCTCATTCAAAACAGGTTCTATGGCTGAACCCAGGCTTCACATAAACCCTCAAATTATAATGCTGGCCTATCAGTGGCTGTCATGTTGAGCACTAAAGATCTCAGCAAGAGACCCTCCGCCCTGCAGGAGCTTCTACTACTGTTTCCATGCCGGTCTCTCCTAGCGACACCATCTCTGTATCTTCCTGATTACAGAACCCCAGTTCCTTCCATCCTGCCTTCCTCATCCTCTTGAGCATTCAGTGCTGATATGTCAGAGTCCAGATTCCAGAGCCCTATTAAGCACGGCAGAGTGTCCCCATCAGGGTCAGGATCAGTAGGAACCTGGGAAAAGGTCTCCTGCAAAGCAGTTCGTTCCACTTGTAGGTACCCGAGTCACCTCTGATCGAACTAGGCTCCGGCTGTCACCAGCATGAGGCCATGAACCAGGGACCACTCCCTCTCTCCTTACAGAGTTTCTTGATGGAAGGAGATGCTGTGGGACAGCGTCTGCTGTGTTTGCCGTTCCTGGGATAAAGGAGATGTTTGAAGGGCAGAGGGGACTGAGAGGGGAGAACCGGTTAGCTTCTTTGTCTGTTCTTGGGGGAAGCACATCTCACGGACTCCTTGGACCAGAATGAACCTCAAAGGCCTTTACAAGACAAAGTAGGCACATCCAACCCCACCCTGCAGAGCCTATAATCCAGATCAGAAGGGGGCACGAACCAGAGAACAAGGAAGGGCTGTGCTACTCCAAGGCACCTGCCAAGCGGATTGCTTCAGATCTCAAAAACAACCGAGCCAAGATCAATGTTCCCTCTAAGCTATGGAGTCCTGTGAGCAAAAATTCTACTCTGTGAGCTACTGGCATTAAAGTTGTGAGCCAGCGATTTGGCTACTGCATAAATTAGTTTGCTCTGGAACCATCCTTCCTGAGCTAAGAAAAAAATGTGTGAGCCAGAGGCTAAAAAACTGTGAGCTAGCTCACACTAACTCAGCTTAGAGGGAACACTGGCCAAGATACATGTTACAAGGGAAAGTCTTGGGCAAAGATAAGAATGCCTAGGAAGTCTTTGCAAACCTCAAATAGGGTCATTGGCATGTAAGTGAACTGTACTTGCAAAGACACTGGGCTCTTAGGTCCACTTCAACCCACCTCCCGTCTCCCAGAAGAGACAAACAGGTCTCAGCCCAAAGCAATGTCCAGAAGGGGCTGCAGACACTTTGAAGAGGGGATCTGGTCAAGAATATCAGGAGAGGGACGGGGGTTAAAGGTAGGTGGTGCGTAAACAAGCCAGTCCTTTTGTGCACAAAGGATGCTCTGGCGACAGAAGACCAAAGGGGACAGGAATAGGAACCTGAGAGGTAGGAAAGGGAATGATGCCTCAAGGCTGAACCCTGAACTATCAGGAGTGTTGCCGGGTCTTAGACAGAAGCGGACCTCATCCTTTACCATTCTAAAGCAAGGATTTCAGAAATGGAGTTGCCCGCTCCCCGTCCCTTTGAGAGAGGCTCTGCGGTGAGCGGTGCTGTCTGCCTCCTCCTCGTCATGAAAAGCGTCTACTGGCCCTTGCCACCAATGCTCCCTCTCAGCTGTGGAGTCCTGTGAGCAAAAATTCTACCTTGCGAGCTCCTGGCATTAAAGTTGTGAGCGGCCAATTTGGCTACTGCCTACATCAGATAGGCGTAATCTTCGTGGGGGCGGCGGGGTATCAGCCGCCGCCGAAATTTTCAGGAAGGTGCTCAGCCTCCCCCGGGGGCCACCCTTGCTCCTAACAAAGCCTCCGCCCACCCCCGGCCCCCCCCCCCCCGGGGAAATTGGAAAGTCTACACCCTCTGGAGCCCTCTTTCCTGAGCTGAGTTAAAAACCTGTGAGCCGGAGGCTCAAAAAATGGCGAGCTAGCTCACACTAACTGAGCTTAGAGGGAACACTGATCGCCACGCATTGAGCCTCTCTGAAAGGGGCCGCTGGCAACCCGACGCCGAGGTGAAGGACGCGGGACAGCCGCTCTGCACGTGCCCCCATCCGCAAGGTGTGCGAGGGAGGGCCGGACGGGGCGGGCTCGGGCGTCAGCGCCCCACTCACCCAGGTAGAGGCGGTCCCGGCTCCGGCAGCGGCGCGGGCTCACGTGGAAGTCGACGTAGAAGAGGAGGAGCGGGTGGCCGAAGCTGGCGGCGGGGCTGGGGTCCAGGACGAGGACGGCGTCGTGCGCCGGGAGGGCGGTGTGGGCGTCGGGGGGGCGCGGCGGGCCGGTGCTCTGGTTGCGGCCGTCCCCCGGCGCCCCGCCGCCGGGCCTGTCCCCCCAGCCGTCGGGCAGGAGGGCGCGCACCTTGTGGCCCGGCCGCGCCGGC